TGGGGCCAGAGCCACATCCTGACCCATAGTGATGGTCAGTGTGGGGCTGACCCGTAGTGATGGGGCACAGAGACACACCCGGCCCCATAGCGAATGGCAGAGCCAGTAGTGACCCCCCCTCCGCCCCCAGTGCCCTGCCCCATGACTGCCCCACTGCTCCCCCATTTCTGCTCCATAACTGCCCCACGGCACCGCACTCACCTGGGATCAGTGGGTCTGAAGTGCAAAGATAGAGGAAGCTGGGGGGGGAGAGTGAAGGGCTGCCCCATAGAGCCCAGAGAGCCCCATGGGCTCCACAGGTCCTATAGAGCCCTGACGCCCTATAGATTCCTGCACCCCATTGCACCCCCATATTATTGTGACATATCTATATCTACACCCCCTGTGCCCCATAGATCCCTAATCCCGATCGCCCTCCCCCCAGGGCCCCATACTCCTATGCACCCCACAGCCTCCCCCATAGTACCCTCTGTGCCCCATACATCCTGTGCCCCATAACCCCATATAGGCTGCTCCATAGGTACCCCATGCCCCATAGCCCATACCCCATATACCCCAAAAGCCCCGCTTTGTGCCCCATAGATCTCTATGGCCCACAGTTCCCCCTCTGTGCCCTATAGATTCCTGCACCCCACATCTGCCACGTGCCCCACATCCCCCCCGTGTGTTCCATAGATCCTGGTACCCCTTAGATCCCCTGAGCCCCATAGATTCCTGTGCTCCAGAACCATCCTGTGCAACCCATAACCCCCCATGCCCCATAACCCCCTGTGTGCCCCATAGATTCTGTGCCCCACATCCCGTACAGACCCCACTTAGCCCCCAAAGGTCCCCACACCCCATAGCTCCCTGCATACCCCACCCCAGAGGTCTTGGCATCCAGTAACACCCCTGTGCACCCCATAGAACCCCTGTGCCCCAAAGCCCCACAGATTCATGTGCCCCATACATCCCCTGTGCCCCATAGATCCTGTGCCACGCAAAATCCCCCCTGCCCCATAGTTTCTGTGCGCCCCATAGCCCCCCGTGTGCCCCAGAAATCCCTTGTGCCCCATAGCCCACCCTGTGCACCCCATACCCCCTGTGCACCCCATACCCCACCCTCATGCCCCATAGATCCCCCACTCCCCATCCCGTGCCCCCCAACCTCTCTGTGCCCCACAGCGGCAGCTCTGCCGCCTCCGCTGCCCATCGGCCTTTATATGGGGCAGAGCTGGGGGGAGGGCGAATTCCTTGGGGGGGTGGGGGGGTGGGGGGATGGGAGGAGGGGGAAGGGCAGCCCTAACCCCTGCCCCATGGCTGAGCTATAGGGCAGAGCAAATCCCATTGTAGGGGTGGGATGTGGGGGGTGCCTATGGGGCAGGATATGTGGATTTGGTGAGTGTGGGGCATCTATGGGGCGGAACCCCCATGTCCCCTCCCTGTGGGGCATCTATGGGGCAGGACATGGGGGTCTCCATGTGTGGGGCACATCTATGGGGCAGGACACCTGTTTTCCCTGTCTATGGGGCATCTATGGGGCATAATGTGTGTGTTTGCAGTCTGTAGAGGTGCATCTATGGGGCAGGATGCCTCTTTTCCTTTGTCTGTGGGGTGTCTGTAGGGCAGGACATATGGGTCCTGCTGTGCATGGGTCATCTATGGGGCAGAACAATGGGGTTCTGTGTGGTGCCTCTGTGGGGCTGAACCCCATGTCCTCTCCATGTGAGGCATCTGTGGGGCAGGACATGGGGGTCCCCATGTATGGGGCCCATCTATGGGGCAGGACAAGTGGGTCTGCAGTCTGTGGGGGGACATCTATGGGGCAGAACCCCCATGACCGTTGCTATGGGGCATCTATAGGGCAGGACATGAGGGTCCCCATGTGTGGGGCCCATCTATGTGGCAGGACAAGTGGGTCTGCAGGCTGTGGGGGGCATCTATGGGGCAGAACCCACATTTCCCCTCCCTCTGGTGCCTCTATGGGGCAGGACATGGGGGTCCCCATGTGTGGGGCCCATCTCTGGGGCAGAACAAGTGGGTCTGCAGTCTGTGGGGGGGCATCTATGGGGCAGAACCCCCATGACTGTTGCTATGGGGCATCTATAGGGCAGGATACGGGGATCCCCATGTGTGGGACACATCTATGGGGCAGAAAAAGTGTGTCTGAAGTCTGTGGGGAGGGCATCTATGGGGCAGAACCCACATTTCCCCTCCCTCTGGTGCCTCTATGGGGCAGGACATGGGGGTCCCCATGTGTGGGGCCCATCTCTGGGGCAGAACAAGTGGGTCTGCAGTCTGTGGGGGGGAATCTATGGGGCAGAACCCCCATGACCGTTGCTATGGGGCATCTATAGGGCAGGACATGAGGGTCCCCATGTGTGGAGCCCATCTATGTGGCAGGACAAGTGGGTCTGCAGTCTATGGGGAGCATCTATGGGGCAGAACCCACATTTCCCCTCCCTCTGGTGCCTCTATGGGGCAGGACATGGGGGTTCTGATGTGTGGGGCCAATCTATGGGGCAGGACAAGTGGGTCTGCAGTCTGTGGGGAGCATCTATGGGGCAGAACCCCCATTTCCCCTCCCTCTGGTTCCTCTATGGGGCAGAACATGGGGGTCCCCATATGTGGGCCCCATCTATGGGGCAGAACCCCCTCTTCCCCTGGCAGGGGGGGGCCCTCTATGGGGCAGGCTCCGTGGGCCTGGCTCGTGTCCCGGCACTTGTGGGGCGCTGACAGGCGGCTCCTCTATCAGGCCCCGTTATCTCCCCCCGCCCCCCCGGCCTGGCGCCGCTGTGGGGCCGCGCTATGGGGCAGGGCCCTGGCACCCGGCCCCACACGTGGGACCCACTTTGTTTCTGCAAGAGGTGACACATTCCCACGGGGGGGGGAGGAGGCGGGGGGGGAGGGGGGGGATGGGGGGATGGGGGGAAGGGACATTTTTGCTCCTAAAACTGTGGAATTCATCCCAAAATCAGCCCTAAAATGGGGGAATTTGGGGGGAATTTGGGGAATTTCAGCCTCTCCAGGCAGATTTTGGCCTGAAAAAGGAGGAATTTGACCCAAAATGGAGGAATTTGACCCAAAATGGAGGAATTTGACCCCAAAAGGAGGAATTTGACCCCAAAAGGAGGAATTTGACCCAAAATGGAGGAATTTGACCCCAAAAGGAGGAATTTGACCCCAAAAGGAGGAATTTGACCCAAAATGGAGGAATTTGACCCCAAAAAGGAGGAATTTGACCCAAAATGGAGGAATTTGACCCCAAAAAGGAGGAATTTGACCCAAAATGGAGGAATTTGACCCCCAAAAGGAGGAATTTAACCCCAAAAGGAGGAATTTGACCCCAAAAGGAGGAATTTGACCCAAACCTGGAGGAATTCGGCCTGAAAATGGGAATTTTGGGGTTAAAAAGCAGGGTTTTGGCCCAAAATCGGAGGAATTGGGTGCTAAAAGTAGGAATTTGGGTGCAATTTGGGGAATTTCAGCCTCTTGAGACAGATTTTGGCCTGAAAAAGGAAGAATTTGACCCAAATGGGAGGAATTTGACCCAAAACTGGAGGAGTTAGGCCTGAAAATAGGAATTTGGGCGCTAAAAAGGAGGATTTTGGCCAAAATTGGAGGAATTTGGTGCTAAAAAGGAGGAATTTGGGTGAAATTTGGGGAATTTCAGCCTCTTGAGACAGATTTTGGCCAGAAAAGGAAGAACTTGACCCAAAACTGGAGGAATTTGACAAAAATTGGAGGAATTTGGCCTGAAAATAGAAATTTTGGGAGTTAAAAAGGAGGCTTTTGGCCCAAAATTGGTGGAATTTTGTGCTAAAAAGGAGAAATTTGGGCCTAAAAAGGAAGAATTTGGGTGAAATTTGGGGAATTTCAGCCTCTTGAGATAGATTTTTGACCTAAAAAGGATGAATTTGACCCAAACTGGCAGAATTTGACCCAAACCTGGAGGAGTTAGGCCTGAAAATATGAATTTGGGGGCTAAAAAGGAGGATTTTGGCCAAAATTGGAGGTATTTGGTGCTAAAAAGGAGAAATTTGGGCCTAAAAATTAGGAATTTGGGTGGAATTTGTGGAATTGCAGCCTCTTGAGACAGATTTTGGCCCTAAAAAAGGAAGAATTTGACCCAAACGGGAGGAATTTGACCCAAATCTGGAGAAATTTGACAAAAACTGGAGGGATTTGGCATGAAAATAGGAATTTTGGGGCTAAAAAGGAGGATTTTGGCCCCAAATTGGAGGAATTGGGTGCTCTGCCCCACTGCTCCGGTACCCCGATGCTCTCAGTGCTGGGATGCAGGCTCTGCCCCACTGCTCTGGTACCCCGATGCTCTCATTGTTGGGATGCAGGCTCTGCCCCACTGCTCTGGTACCCCGATGCTCTCAGTGCTGGGATGCAGGCTCTGCCCCACTGCTCCTGTACCCCGATGCTCTCATTGTTGGGATGCAGGCTCTGCCCCACTGCTCTGTACCCCGATGCTCTCATTGTTGGGATGCAGGCTCTGCCCCACTGCTCCTGTACCCCGATGCTCTCATTGTTGGGATGCAGGCTCTGCCCCACTGCTCCGGTACCCCGATGCTCTCATTGTTGGGATGCAGGCTCTGCCCCACTGCTCCGGTACCCCGATGCTCTCATTGTTGGGATGCAGGCTCTGCCCCACTGCTCCGGTACCCCGATGCTCTCATTGTTGGGATGCAGGCTCTGCCCCACTGCTCCGGTACCCCGATGCTCTCATTGTTGGGATGCAGGCTCTGCCCCACTGCTCCGGTACCCCGATGCTCTCAGTGCTGGCTCCTTCCTCCTCCTGCAGGGCTGAAGGCTGCAGCCGGAGGATGCTGCTGGGTTCATTGCTCCGCTTCCTCCCGCAGCCCGGCCCCCGTGCAGCCTTCCCCGTTCTGCTTTGAATACTTTCCACGGAAGACAAAAAGAAGCCGTTTTCACCCCAAACAGGAAGCACGGGGCCCGTGGCGGGGCTCGCCTTGGAGGGCGGCTGTGGGGCAGCGGAGATCAAGGCCGGGTCAGGACCAGAGGCATGGGGTGGGCGCTGCGGCTCTGCCTGCTGGTGACTCTGGGCTGCCCTTGGGGTACGGAGGGATGGGGTCGGATGGATGGGGTTGGATGGGGTTGGATGGATGGGGTTGGATGGGGTGTGGGTGGGGTATGGGTGGGGTATGGATGGATGGGGTTGGATGGGGTGTGGGTGGGGTATGGGTGGGGTATGGATGGATGGGGTTGGATGGGGTTGGATGGATGGGGTATGGGGTTGGATGGATGGGGTTGGATGGATGGGGTATGGGGTTGGATGGATGGGGTTGGATGGATGGGGTTGGATGGGGTTGGATGGATGGGGTATGGATGGATGGGGTTGGATGGGGTTTGATGGATGGGGTTGGATGGATGGGGTTGGATGGATGGGGTTGGATGAAGTTGGATGGATGGGGTTGGATGGATGGGGTGTGGATGAGGTTGGATGGATGAGGTTGGATGGATGGGGTTGGATTAATGGGGTATGGGGTTGGATGGATGGGGTATGGGGTTGGATGGATGGGGTATGGATGGGGTTTGGTGGATGGGGTTGGGTGGATGGGGTTGGATGGATGGGGTATGGATGGGGTTGGATGGATGGGGTTGCATGGATGGGGTATGGGTGGGGTATGGATGGATGGGGTTGAATGGGGTTGGATGGATGGGGTTGGATGGATGGGGTTGGATGAGGTTGGATGGATGGGGTATGGGGTTGGATGGATGGGGTTGGATGGATGGGGTATGGGGTTGGATGGATGGGGTTGGATGGATGGGGTTGGATGAGGTTGGATGGATGGGGTATGGGGTTGGATGGATGGGGTTGGATGGATGGGGTTGGATGGGGTTGGATGGATGGGGTATGGATGGATGGGGTTGGATGGGGTTTGATGGATGGGGTTGGATGGATGGGGTTGGATGGGGTTGGATGGATGGGGTTGGATAAATGGGGTGTGGATGAGGTTGGATGGATGAGGTTGGATGGATGGGGTTGGATTAATGGGGTATGGGGTTGGATGGATGGGGTATGGGGTTGGATGGATGGGGTATGGATGGGGTTTGGTGGATGGGGTTGGATGGATGGGGTTGGATGGATGGGGTATGGATGGGGTTGGATGGATGGGGTTGGATGGATGGGGTATGGGTGGGGTATGGATGGATGGGGTTGAATGGGGTTGGATGGATGGGGTATGGATGGATGGGGTTTGATGGATGGTGTATGGATGGATGGGGTTGCATGGATGGGGTTGGATGGATGGTGTATGGATGGATGGGGTTGGATGGATGGTGTATGGATGGATGGGGTTGCATGGATGGGGTTGGATGGATGGTGTATGGGTGGGGTATGGATGGGGTTGGATGGATGGGGTATGGATGGGGTATGGATGGATGGGGTTGGATGGAGGGGGTATGGATGAGGTTGGATGGATGGGGTTGGATGGATGGGGTATGGATGGGGTATGGATGGATGGGGTTGAATGGGGTTGGATGGATGGGGTATGGGGTTGGATGGATGGGGTATGATGATGATGTCCTAGGGATGATGGTGTCCTGAGCTGATGGTGTCCTGGGGTAATGGGGGCCCAGGGGTGACGGTGTCCTAGGGATGATGGAGTCCTGCAGCTGATGGTGTCCTGGATGAATGGGATCTGCTGGCCCAGGGACACTGTGTCCCTGCAGCCCCATGACAGCACCCGAGGTGACAGGGTCTCGTGTGGGGCATCCCTGCCATGATGATCCCATGGTGATCCCATAATGACCCCATGATGATCCCATGATGATCCCATGATGATCCCATGATGATCCCATGATGATCCCATGATGATCCCATGATGATCCCATGATGACCCCATGATGATCCCATGATGATCCCAAGATGAGCCCATGATGATCCCATGATGATCCCATGATGATCCCATGATGACCCCATGATGATCCCATGATGATCCCAAGATGAGCCCATGATGATCCCATGATGATCCCATGATGACCCCATGATGATCCCAAGATGAGCCCATGATGACCCCATGATGAGCCCATGATGATCCCATGATGATCCCATGATGATCCCATGATGATCCCATGATGATCCCATGATGACCCCATGATGATCCCAAGATGAGCCCATGATGACCCCATGATGAGCCCATGATGATCCCATGATGATCCCATGATGATCCCATGATGATCCCATGATCCTTCTCCCCTCCGGACAGGGTAGCAATGGGGGGAGCCCCCACACTACAAACTGGAGTATTGCTCCCACCAGTGCCATGGGGCAGCGGTGGCGATGGTCGGACTGGATGAGCTCCGAGCCCTTTCCCGACCCGACCATTGATTCCCCTCTCCTATGGCCCCGCGGGGCTGGGCTGGGGCAGCGCTGGCTCTGCCCCCCTGCCTGCCCCATCCCTTCTCTCCCCTCTGCTCCTCCCCACAGGCAGGGTCCATGGGGTGAAGGAAACGGTGCTGGGTACCCTGGGCCAGGCGACGATGCTGCGGATCCCCCCGGAGCTCCGGGCCCTCACCCTGCGCTTCGGAGCTGGGCTCTGGAAGCGGGACACCGAGGACCCACAGCGGAAGCTGATCCTGCTCAAGTACGCGGACGGGACCCACACCAACTACGTGCGGGACCGAGCCCGCTTCCACGAGCTGGATTTCTCCCTGGAGATCCTGAACACCAGCCGGCAGGACGGGCAGCTCTACGAGTACAGCGTGAGCAAGGGGCCCGAGGAGAAGGTCTGGCGGATACAGCTGGAGGTCTATGGTGAGCAGTGGGGCTGGGTGATGCCGGCTTCCCCACAGCGCCGGGGGGCAGGCGGGGTTGGGGGGGAGATGCCCACCCTGATGTCGAGGGGCTGCCGGGAGCATCTGGTGCATCCCTCTCTGATGCTCTTCGCAGCTTAGAGCGGTCCCTATGGGGATCCCCTATAGGGATGCTGGGGAGGGGCTCTTCATTAGGGACTGCAGTGACAGGACAAGGGGTAACGGGTTCAAACTGAAACAGGGGAAGTTTAGATTGGATCTAAGGAGGAAATTCTTCCCTGTGAGGGTGCTGAGGCACTGGAATGGGTTGCCCAGGGAGGTTGTGAATGCTCCATCCCTGGCGGTGTTCAAGGCCAGGTTGGACGAAGCCTCAAGTGAGATTTAGTGTGAGGTGTCCCTGCCCATGGCAGGGGGTTGGAACTGGATGATCCCGAGCTCCTTTCCAACCCAAATTATTCCATGATTCTACGGATTCGAAGCCGTTTGGGTTTCCCAGGCACAACAACCGCCCCTTCCCTCCCTCTCTGCAGAGCCTGTGTCCCCCCCCAGCATCCAGATCCTCAGCTGGGTGCTGGCCAACGGCACCTGCAGCATCACCCTCGACTGCGCTGCGGAGCGAGGGGACAGCATCGCCTACAGCTGGGGCAGCGCCGACGCCATCGCCTCGGGGCCCTGCTCCCGCAACAGCAGCCTCCTGCACCTCACCCTGCCCCTGCACAGCTCCAGCATCTCCTGCTCCTGCACCGCCAGCAACCCCGTCAGCACCCGCAGCGTCGCCTTCCGCTCCTCCCGGTGCCGCCAGCAGCGAGCGGGTGAGTCCCCAGCGCTGCCCCTGCTCCTGGCCTTGCTTTGCTGGGCTCTTGCTTTAGGCAGCCCCGAAGGAGCCTTTTGGGGCTGCTTCGGAAGGGGAAGGACGGGGAGGTTCCGGGCCTGGGGAGCAGAACCCGCTCAGGGGCAGCTTCCCCTCCGCGGGCTCTTGGGGCCAAGTCACGCTGCCTCCCATGGGGCTTCCCTTGTGATGGCACCCAAAGGTGACCTCGTGCTGCAGCCCTATGGGACCCTCGGAACAGGGAGATGCTGAAACGAGGCGTTCCAGGGGCATGTGGGGCTTGTTCCTCAGCCCTCCTTGCCCCAAACCCCCTTGCGCCCCTGTGCGATGGGACCCGTTGGTGGTCCAGGAGCAAGGCTGGAGCTGCACGGCTCTGTCCTTTACAGGGCTTTTACACCCTGCAGTGCCATGGGGCTGCCCCCCCCACAGGCACTGGGGGCATCCTTAGGGCTGTATCTGGCCCCGATGGCACCTGCAGCAGGTTCTTTGCTGCTCGGGGCAGCCTGGAGGCGATTAAAGGATGCTCTGCTCGAGAGAAGCGTTTCCTGCCCCTTGTTTCCTGTTCTGCCGAGTTAAACGGTCCAAAACGAGGTGACAAAAAGGCTTTTAGCGGCACATCCTGCTCGGCTCTGGGTGCTGTGGGGCCTGTGGCTGATCCCATCCCCTCTCTTCTCCCCCGCCCCATTGCAGGCAGTGCCGGGCCGGGGCCGCAGGGTCTCCTGCTCGTGGTGGTGGTGGTGGTGCCCATGGGTGCAGTGATGCTCATCGGGGCCCTCGTGGTTGCCCGTGTGGCCAAGGCCGGGGGTGAGTGCCGGGGGTGCCCGAGGCTCCGTGCTTGGGGTGAGCCTGGTGGAGGGACAGGAATGGAGCGAGGGGTTGGTCCCTATGGATCTGCGGTGTCCTGGGTTGGTGCTGCGCTTGGGAAGAGTTGGACTCCATCCTAAACGTCTTTTCCAACCCGGGTGGTTCTGTGATCCTAAGGGCAGCCTGGGAAGGAGCAAAGCGAAGGTTCCTTAAGGGTGCCCATGGCAGGGGGCTTGGAACTGCATGATCTTAAGGTCCTTTCCAACCCAAACCATTCTATGGGTCTAAGGGGAGCCCTTGGGGCAGCTCCGGTGCCTGAAGGGGCTGCAGGAAGCCTGGAGAGGGGCTGGATGGAGGGGAACGGCTTTAACCTGCGCGAGGGGGGATGCAGATGGGATCCGAGGCAGGAGCCCTGCCCAAGGAGCTCTCGGGGTGCAGGAGCAGGGAGGTGACACCTGAGCCCCCCCTCAGTGACTTCCCCATCCCCTGCAGGCGGGCAGGGGGGCTCAGCCCCCCCCGAGGACAGCGCAGTGCACACCATCTACTCCCAGGTGCAGCGGAGGCAGGTGAGCCCCGGCCACTGCTCCTTAGGGATGGGACCCTGGTGGGGTTCCTTGGGTGGGGGCAGCAGCACCCAAAGCCCCCAGCTCGCTGTTGGGTGCCTCTTGGTTGGGCTGCAGCACCCTATGAATGGGTGCTAACGCAGCCCTGCGACCGGGGAGGGAGAGGATGGGGAGGCTTCTGCCTCATCCCCCTTAATGCAGGAACTGCTGGGAATGAGGTTGGGTGCTGCAGCCCCCAGCACCTCAGGGTGGCTCTGGGGACAGACCGCGGGTTTTGGACCCACTGCTCCCCAAAACCCAGCAGGAAGTGGGGAGGAAACGGTGGGTCCATGGGGGGCAGAGGGAGGGAAGGGTCCCCACGGTGAGCTCTGCGCCGCTGCTCACCCTTTGCTCTCTGTGCAGAGGCAGAAAGGAGCCCCCATCACCGAGCCCCCCTCCTGCATCACCATCTACACCACAGCCACCAGCCAGCCCCTGGACACGGCACTGGTCCCCAGCGCAGCCCCTTGTGCCCCACGGGACCCCCCGGCACAGCCCCACACCCTGCAGGGCCACCTCGTACAGGTAAGGGTGGTTCTGCCCCCGTGGGCATCCCCATGGGCTGACCCACATCTGCCCCCCAGCTCAGGCCCCTCTTTTGCTTCCCTGCTTCTCGCTGCAGAGCCCCATCAAGGAGCCCACGACCGTTTATGCCAGCGTGATGATGCCCACGGCCTGAGCCTCTGCAGGCAGCCTCTGCTCCAGGGACACCAGCATCACATTCCCGGCTTGAGGAAACCCTCCCCATCCCTATGGGACTGCGGCCGAGCTGGGGCTGCCATGTGGAGGGGAGGGACGGCAAAGAGCAGGGCTGGATGAAGGCAGGCACCAAACCTCCTTGGGTTATGGTTAAGGGAAGACCCTGGAGCGCGGGGAGGGGTGGAAGGGCTCTGGATGCAGCCACAGATGGAATCGGCTCCTCGGAGGGGAAGGCTCCAGCCCCTCAGCTCCGTACAGCAGCACCGGGAAGCGTGGGGCTGGTCTGCCCCCCAACCTCATCCCTCTGCCCCACGGGCTTCACTAGGGGGAGCCCCAGCCCGTGGTACCGGCGATGCGAGCTCAACAGCAGCGGGCTGGACCCGGGGGGAGGTTGCTGTAACCCGGCTTGGCTATGGGCTGTAACCCCAGTGAGTTTGCTATGACCAGAAATTATTTTCCTATGATCAGAACCGATTTTTCTACAACCAAAGTGGTTTTTCTATGACCAGAACTGTTTTTCTTATGACCAGAAGTGATTTTTCTACAACCAAAGTGATTTTTCTATGACCAGAACTGTTTCTCCTATGACCAGAAGTGATTTTTCTATAGCCAAAGTGATTTTTCTATGACCAGAACTGTTTTTTCTATGACCAGAAGTGATTTTTCTATGACCAGAAGTATTTTTTCTATGACCAGAAGTGATTTTTCTATGACCAGAACTGTTTTTCCTATGACCAGAAGTGTTTTTCCTATGACCAGAACTGTTTCTTCTATGACCAGAAGTGATTTTTCTATGACCAGAACTGTTTCTTCTATGACCAGAAGTGATTTTTCTATGACCAGAACTGTTTTTTCTATGACCAGAACTGTTTTTCCTATGACCAGAAGTGATTTTTCTATGACCAGAAGTGATTTTTCTGTGACCAAAGTGATTTTTCTATGACCAGAACTGTTTCTCCTATGACCAGAAGTGATTTTTCTATGACCAAAGTGTTTTTTCTATGACCAGAACTGTTTCTCCTATGACCAGAAGTGATTTTTCTATGACCAGAAGTGATTTTTCTATGACCAGAACTGTTTTTTCTATGACCAGAACTGTTTTTCCTATGACCAGAAATGATTTTTCTATGACCAAAGTGATTTTTCTATGACCAGAACTGTTTCTCCTATGATCAGAAGTGATTTTTCTATGACCAAAGTGATTTTTCTATGACCAGAACTGTTTTTCCTATGACCAGAAATGATTTTTCTATGACCAAAGTGACTTTTCTATGACCAGAACTGTTTCTCCTATGACCAGAAGTGATTTTTCTATGACCAGAACTGTTTCTCCTATGACCAGAAGTGATTTTTCTATGACCAAAGTGACTTTTCTATGACCAGAACTGTTTCTCCTATGACCAGAAGTGATTTTTCTATGACCAGAACTGTTTCTCCTATGACCAGAAGTGATTTTCATTCAACTTCTGTTGCAGAAGCAGCTCTGACACCGCCGGGTTCCTGCTGCAGCAGACTTTGCTGTACCCCGGAGGCTGAGCTCAGCCTGGCTCCCGCACTGGGCACACTCGTGCCCCTGCTTGGGCAATGCCTCTGCCCCCTTCTCCATCCCCATCCCTTCCCACTGCTCCCTGTAGGGACAGGCAAGGGTTTTCCGGGCCCTCTTTCCCAAGACCTTTGAAAGCTGAACTTGAAGCCTCCCCTGCCCGCAGCAGAGCCCGCATTCCCTGCAGCAATCCCCCGGCGATGCTGGAGGGGGCCTGGATGCAGGACAGCGGCTGTCAAATCATCCCAAATCCGAGCTATTTTATAATCCCAAGGGCCCGCAGCTCACTGCTGCCTACGGGAAAGGGAAATAAACGTATGGGAAAGCCTTTTGGAAAGGGTTGCTGGACGAGTGTGTCACGGGCTGCTCCAGCGCATCAGCTGAGCTGCTTCCTTGGAAAAGCCTCCAAAGCAGCAGCTTCACCAGGATCCCGGGCAGGACCGCAGAGGGGCAAGGTTTGTGACTCTAAAAGGGGGTAAAACCTCACATCCCGTGCCTGGTGCTTGGTGCAGGATTTAGCCCGGTGCTGCTCCTTGCAGGGTGATGGAGCACCCCGTGATGGGGCATCCAACCGCTGGCATGGGATGCTCGGGATGGGGAAGGGTTCCAGTGACAGTGCTGATGGTGCCAATGGGTGGCATTGAGCCACGGTGCCACAGGGATGCTGGCTCCCTTCGGATGGTTGGAGGAGACAAAGGGGGTTCCAAGGTGGTCCATCCCCTGGGTGTCGCTTTGTGCCTTAGCCCACAAGAGGAGCCCATCCCCAGTGTCACAGCATCCCTCATGGAGCATGCCCTGGTGACACTGGTCCATGGCACCAGCGTGCTTGTGGGTGATGGGTTCCATGCTGCACCTCTCCAGGCTGGTTCCTGCAGAGGAGCTGGGCTGCTTCTCACACGGAGCCGTGGTGCTGCTCTTTGTCCCAGATGCCACGCTCCTCTTTGCTTGGAAGTGGAGCTTTTCGGATGAAGTTTTCATTGGGATTCCTTCCAGTGCCCAAAGGGGCTGCAAGAAGCCTGGAGAGGGGCTATGGACAAGGAATGGAGACAGACAGGCCGAGGGGAATGGCTTGAACCTGCCAGAGGGGAGATGGAGATGAGCTCTTAGGCAGAAGCTCTTCCCCATGAGGGTGGTGGGACACTGGGATGGGTTGAATGGAGATGCTGTGGCTGCAGCGTTCAAGGGCAGGTTGGACACAGGGGCTTGGAGCACCCTGCTCTAGTGGAAGGGGTCCCCGCTTTGGAGCTGCATGAGCTTCAAGGTCCCTTCCAACCCAACCCACTGTGGGTTCTGTGTTTATCCCCTGTCTATTCTACGCTCATGCCCATCAGCCCCACGTCTCCGACGTCCCAGCCATTGGGTGAAGCAGTTATCTCCACCCATACAGCATTGGGAGGCTGTGTGCTCACATCTTCCTCTTGCTGCCGCACGCTGGGGCACATGCTGGGTGCAGGGAGCTCCCCTCCACTCGCCGTGGGTCGATGGATGGGTTTTGGTGCCTGACCCTCGCCTTCGTCCTTCAGCAAGCAAGTAAGTGCCAGGTGCTCCTTCTCCCACAGCAATGGAGGGCCCGTGGGGAGGTTTAGGTTGGTTTTAAGGACTCCTGGGAGAGCAGGGATGCTTGGGACCAATGGTGAAGGATCCTCGCAGGGATGTCCTGAGGATGTTGGGCAAACCAGGGTGAAAGATGCCCATCACGGCCCAGTGCTGGCCCCTTGCTCTGCTGTGCAAACGAGTGACTGCTCCAGTCCATCTCCATCCAGCTGCTGCCAGATGTGCCGGGTTGGATGCGCTCCGCTCAGGGGTTCTTCTCTTTGTGTCCTCCCTGCTCCCGCGGGTTTCTGCTGGGGAATTCGGGGCTGTTTGGAAGGGGGGGATGCGCTCTGGCTCCTTTCAGCAATGGGAAATGGGCCTGGGGAGGGTTTTACCCCCGGATGAGCCCTGCAGTGTCCTTATCTACTGCTTCAGCAGGGCTTCCTCCAGCTCTATCTGCCTGAGCAGCTTTTCCTGCCATGCGGTCAGAGCCTCCTGTTCTGGGAACCGGAGATGCAGAGCCCTGGGGTGAGGTGGGACCGCTGGGCTCCGGCTGCCTGCCCGAGCCAGGATCAGTCCCCTTTCCAAGCAGTGGGGACGCAGCCTCCATCCCCAGCCCACGCGAGGGAGCAGCGGCTTTAAACTGGGGATGGGAAGTCTTCTTGGGAAAGAGGGAACCAGCTCCACACTGGGTGGAGAAGCCTTTCTGCCTGCTTAGAGCTCAGCTTGGCCCTCGCGGGCTGGTGCTAAGGGGAGCCTTGCTGAGCTGCTTCTTGCGCTTTCATTTTGCACCTCGGGGCTCTGCCCCTTGAGCCCCTCCGTGCAAGGGAAGCTGCTTCACGAGCACTTTGGGGGATGTGAAAGCGCAAGTCCCGCTGTGGGACCACGGAGGCAAACGGATCCTTTATAACACAAAGGATTCCCCTAATGAATGCCATCACCCCGGCTCCTTGGTGCTCCGGGATCAGCGACGCAGCGTGCATCCTTATCCCAAGGGGTGCTCCAGATGCTTCGTGTGGTTGCAGCCCAGAAAGCCTCTCATCTGCTGGGCTATGGGGGGGATCCTGCCCCTCTGCTGCGCTCTGTGAGACCCCCCCTGCATCCCGCATCCAGCTCCGGGGCAGCAGCACCAGAGGGATGTGGAGGTGCTGCGAGGGCTGGAGCAGCTCTGCCATGGAGCCAGGCTGAGAGAGCTGGGCTGGGGCAGCCTGGAGAAGAGAAGGCTCCTGAAGGGGAGACCTGAGAGCAGCTCCAGTGCCTGAAGGGGCTACAGGGAACCTGGAGAGGGGCTTGGGACAAGGGATGCAGGGACAGGCCAAGGGGAATGGCTTTAACCTGCCAGAGGGGGGAGATTGAGATGAGCTCTCAGGCAGAAGCTCTTCCCTGTGAGGGTGCTGAGGCGCTGGCACAGGGTGCCCAGAGAAGCTGTGGCTGCCCCATCCCTGTCAGTGCTCCAGGCCAGGTTGGAGCATCCTGCTCCAGTGGAAGGGGTCCCTGCCCGTGGGGCTGGATGAGCCTCAAGCTCCCTTCAACCCAAAGCAGTGTGATCCGATGACGTTACCCGCAGTGGACCAGAGGTGCTGTGCCCTGCGGCCCCTGGCTCTCAGCCTGTCCGTGGTGTCGCAGCGGGCGATGAGGAGCCCTTTCCACCCAAGGCCCCTTCCCCACATCCTGTCCCCGCTCCTCTCCGCAGCGCGCAGCACCCGCGGCACGGAGCTGATCGGCGCCGTGGGCAGCTCCATCACCTTCCACCTCCAGAGCCCGGCGGGGGAAGCTGCCGCCTGGAGCTTCCACGGCGACGTGGTGGTGACCGTGCGCTTCGGGGACCCTCCGGAGGCCACCTTCTTCGACGACAGCTTCAAGCCCCGCTTGGCCTTCCCCGGCAACGGCAGCGCGCTCAGCATCTCCCGGCTGAGCCTGGAGGACGCGGGCACCTACACGGCGAAGAGCGCGGGCACCAAAACCGCCTTCACTTTGCGCGTTTACGGTAGGGACCTTCCACCGTTGGCCCTTTGCTTTATGCTCTGCGCTCAACGGGGGCTCTGACGGCTCCCCCCATGTCCCCCAGGGGTGCTGGAAGAGCCCACGGTGACCTGCACCGGGCAGAACTGCTCCGCCGGGGTCTGCCGCTACGCCCTGCTCTGCGCCGCCAACGGCGCCGGCGCTGGCGACGTCTCCTACGCCTGGAGCATGGGGAGCACGTGGAGCGCCGGGGCCGCGGTGCTGGTGGAGGAATCCCCCGTCGAGGAGCCGCTCCTCACGTGCACGGCTCAAAACCCCGTCAGCAGCCGCAACATCACCGTCGGCTCGGCCGCGGCCCTCTGCGCGGGTACCGGGCACGGAGAGGGGGCTGGGGAAGGGCCCTATCCTGCACCTCGGGGTTCCGCTGCCCCCCGAGCTGTGCACGCAGCCCAGCGCGGGCATTGAGCTCTCTCCTGTTCTCTTCCCTCCCCACGCTGCAGAAATCACAGCCCAGCCTCCCACCGAGCTCCCGAGCTGCCCGTGCCCAGCCTGGCTCTTGGGTGTCTGAGTGTGCCCGAGCCCGTCCTTGCCACCCGGGGGGGGGGATTTGGGGGGGGAGCGGGTGACCCCTCAACACCCCCTGCTTTGGGATGGCAGCGACAAAGCAATTCCTGCAGCGCAGCGGCAGGGGTGCAGGGGGGAGCCTGGCTCCGCATTCCGCTTTCCAGCGGGGCTCTTCCCACCCATGGGGACCCCCGAAGGCAAAGGGACGTCAGTGGGGAAAGCTGTGGCCATGGAGGGGCTGGGGCCGGGGTCCCCGTCGCTGCTCTGCCTGCAGCATCACCCATCCTCATGCAGCGCATCGCCTCTTTCCCATGTTGGACCAGGGAGTGAGGGTCCCTGTGAAGCAGGGAAGGGCTCAGCAGGGCGTTGAAGCACGGCCGTGCCCGTTTCCCCCCCGCTCTGATGCCGGGAAGAGGCAGATCCACTCCGGGATGTTGCCACCGGACCTTGCTCTCTCTGCAGGCACCCACTCCAGCAGGAGGGCTGTGATTGCGGCCGCAGCGGTGGTCGGATCCGGAGCGCTTTTAGCATCCGTTATCCTCGTGCTCTGCTGTAAACCCAAAGGTGAGCAAACCCCACGGGTGCCTGCGGACCCGAGAGCCCCATCCATGGGAGTCCATCACGGCCCCGACACCGGGGAGGGCTGCAGATGCCGGAGCTGCGGATGCTCCGTGGGGTTTGCTCTTGTTGCTGCTGCTGCTGCTGCTGACAGGAACCCCTGCGTTGCTCTCCCGCAGGCTGGAGGATCTTCCATCTGCCTGCAGATGAGGCTGTGAACACAGGTACGGCACTGGGGCTGCCCCAGGCGCTTCCCTCCCTCCCTCCATCCATCCCCCTTTTTTTTCCTGGTGGGAACAACCCGGCTGCATTGAAAATCAGGAGGGGAAATCATCCACTGCTGGGGCTTGGTACCAGAGCGGACCCCAACCCTCCCCGCGCCCTCACCCTGCATGCATGGAAGTGAGCTCCAAGAGGTGACCCCAGCGATGCTCCCGAGGCTGAAGCTCTGCTCTTCCCCAGTTTGCTGCTGGAAAACTTGGTGCCAGCCCTCCACGAAGGAGACCCATGAGACCCCCCCAAAGCATCGGGATGCTCAGGGCTGTTTTGCGACGCAGCCCATCGCTGCTACAACGGGGCCGGTGCCCCGCGCGGATCCCACTGACTCCTCTTCCTTCCATCCCTGGAAAACAGGGTTGTTTCCATCAGCTCACACCAACGGGGGGATTCCTGCCTCCTCTTTGCCTGCGCCTGGATGTTGGGGTGCACTCAGCACCGGGGCCATGGGCTCCTGCCACCCAACCCTTGAGATCCAGCTCTTCCATGGGGAACTACGCACGAAGCATCTCCCCGCAGCAATCCCTGCCCTGCCTGAACCCTGCGTTGCTCTTCCTCCAGTGCTGCCAATGAGGGACACAGGAATTTTGACCCCCAAATGGGACTATGAAGGGTTTCAAGGGTCCTCTGCTGGGCCATGGAACGAGCTGACGCTGCCATAGTGGCAATGTCTGAAGGAGAGACAAACGCATCTCGCCCTCTGAAAGCAGCCGGGGATCTTGTACTGGAATGGGAAGAGCTGGTTTGCACTGGCGCGCGCTTCCACTGCCATCCTTTGAGCTGGAAGCACGCGCCCTGCTCCCACCTCCCGTGGGGCAGAAAGCGGGATGCAAAGCGATGCTCCACCTCCACCCAGACCCACAGCAACGCCCTCCAGCACCTCTCGGCCTGCTTTAAACCGGGATTCCCACCCTTCCCATCCACCGCAGCCTGTTCCCTCGCTGACCTTCCCCTCTTCTCTCCCCACAGAGGCCAGAGCAGAGTACACCACGGTGTATGCCCAGGTCGGCCCCTTCCAGCAGGTGAGTTTGTGCAGGTTCATCCCCATCCCCTGGGTACGTGCCCGGACCAGGATGCAGATGTGGGGTGGGGGGGTCCCTGCATGGCATGGGGATGACCTGGGGGGCCAGGATGGGGTGGGGAGGAAGGACAACCTCAGCCTATGGGAACTTGAATGGGGGACCTGGTGCTGGGGCTGCCCCAGGAGCAGCCAGCGTGGCCGCAGCCGCCTGCACGTCCCAGTGCATCACCGGGCTCTCCGTCCCCAGCCCCACTGAACCTGGTTTCTTTGGCTCACCTTGGGATGCCTCCGAGCCCTGGAAACCCCTTTTAAAGCCTTTCCCCCCAGGTCTACCTGCAAGAGGGCTCCATGACGACACCGACCCCCGGCGCTGAGACCTCCAAACCCACCCCTCCCACGGCGCCGGCTACAGCCCAGGTGAGCCGTGGCTCGTGGCCATCTCCCCTAAAGGGGCTCCAGCCCCAAGCAAGGAGATGGGGAAGACCCCAGGGAGAGAGATGTAACCCCTGGACCCACAGGCAGGAGCAGATGGGTCCTCACTGGGCTTTCCTGGGCTCCAGAGCATCAAACCAAGCCCATGGGTCCCCTCTCTCTTGCCAATGGAGGGATTGGGTTCCGTGAGCCCAAGCAAAGCTTTTGTCCCTTTGTGGTTGCAGACGGATGATGAGAAGATGGGTAAGGGCCTGCCAGGCTGCTGGGGGCAGGAGGAGAAAACCCTCTACGCGTTGGTCAGCTAGTGAGAGCAATACTCCAGTTTGCTCTGAGTGCGGGGCTCCCCCCATTGCTACCCTCTCTGGAGGGGAGAAGGATCATGGGATCATCATGGGATCATCATGGGATCATCATGGGACCATCATGGGATCATCATGGGATCAACTGGGTTGGAAAAGACCTTTAAGATCATTAAACCAAACCATTCCCAGCGCTGCCAAGGCCACCACTGCCCCATGGCACTTGGGGGGTGTGAGCACTGGTAGGGCCCTGGGCAGCCTGTTCCAATGCCTGAGCACCCTCTGGGGCAGGAATTGTTCCTCAGCTCCACCTAAACCTGCCCTGGTGCAGCTTGAGGCCGTCTCCTCTTGTCCCATCCCTTGTTCCTTGGGAGCAGAGCCCAGCCCCTCCTGTCAGCACCTGTAGGGAGCCATCAGGTCCCCCCATGATCCAGAGCTGTGGCTGTGCAAGGACGGGATCTGCTGCTCCTGATGGGCCACAAAGATGCTCCCAAGGGGAATGGCTTGAACCTGCCCGAGGGGAGACTGAGCTGAGCTCTTAGGCAGAAGCTCTTCCCTGTGAGGGTGCTGAGGCGCTGGCACAGGGTGCCCAGAGAAGCTGTGGCTGCCCCATCCCTGTCAGTGCTCCAGGCCAGGTTGGAGCATCCTGCTCCAGTGGAAGGGGTCCCTGCCCGTGGCTTTAGATGAGCTTTAAGCTCCCTTCCAACCCCAACCATCCCAAGCTTGTGTGATTCTGTGACTCCTGGGATTCGCCCTGCAGCACCTCGCAGTTTGGAGCCTCCCAATGGAGGCCGGGAAGAGCTGAGGAGCCCCTTAGCCCCCTTTCTTCCTGTTCCTTTGCCCTATACTTCTCAACGGGGCAAATACTTCAGCAGCTTCATTCGATTGCTCACCCGAAAGGAAGCAGGGACAACGCTTGGTGGTGCAAAGCTGAAGATGGAAACTCAGCCGGGAGCTGCCCTTTCAGCTCTGGCTGCTTCTGCAGTGCTCCTGCTCCTGCCGGGGACCTTGCAGACCTCAGAGCCCCCAGCACCGTGCTCAGCATCGCTCTGTGCCAGCAGCAAGCGGTTCGTGGTCCCCTGAGATGCTGTCATGGTCCATAGGCAGGAGATGATGCAGCCTGGGGGCAAACAGGACAAGGAAGGTGGCTGATGCTGTTCCACTCCACTGCTTTGATGGGTTTGGAGATGAGGTTTAACTCTTGGGTGAAGCGTTTGTATGGAAGCTTCAGGAGGAGAGCAGCTTCCCAAGAGATGCAGGGATGCTGCGCAGCACGCTGCTGGCTGCATCCCACCGGGATGCTTGCCCTGCAGCAGCGCCTGCGTGGCTTCACCCAGACCTGGGATACCCAGCGAGCAGGACACGGGGCACCCCAAATCCCTGCTCCCCAAATCCCCCCCCCTCAGAGCCAGCAATGGAGCCCAGCTCCCACCTTGGCACCAGTTTTCCGGTGCTGCCAGACAATGGGAAGCCGCTTCCCTCTGCTCTTTGTCTCGTCTGTGCAGATAGTAAATTATTCAGGGATGAAACTGGAGATCTCTTGGAAGTGCCTGGCACAGGGGAGCCCTCCAGGAATAAAAACGCCAGACACATCCGAGCTCAGTTTCTGTCTGCGCGCGGTTTGAGGTGAAACCAGGCCATTTTTGGCAGTGATTTCTTTGCTCTCCGCCTTTTCACAATGGGTGTTTGAGCTTCCACGCTGATCAATTCAAAACACACCCCATGGATCACGCATTCGACCCGTGCATCGGCCGTGTGGCACCAAATTCGCCCTTGTAACTCCAATCCCCAGCCTGGACGAGGCTTAACCCAGCGATGATGGCACCGGGGACCGGTCCAAAGGGAGCCGGAGCATCACCGGAGCATCGCCTCCTGCTTTGCCCCTGTCATGGGATCTGCCCCCTGTGATGGTCATAGCCCCAAAATGCCCCCCCCCCCCCTCCATGGGGTGGTTTCGGGCCATTAATCACCCCATTTCAGTGCCAGAACCTTTGAGCTCACAGGAAGCCGTTGGTGGGGCAGAAAGGGGAAGGAAGACATTGCAAGAGGGAGCAGTGGAAGGGGAGGATGGAGCCCCAAGGCGTGGGGATGGGCTGGCTCTGCATGGCAGTGCTCTGCTCCGGAGCTGGTGAGTGGGGCTCGGGGGGGTTCCCTCCATCTATGGGGCTGGGCGAGGAGGAAGAGGAGGAGGAAGGGGCGATGTGAAGGCAGTGGGTGTGCGACCACGGTGCCTGCTCAGGGGCCCCTTTGCAGCAGGGCAGGATGCTCCCCTGGACATTGCATGGGGGGAAAGGCTCAGGCCATGGCTTTATGGTCTGGCTGGGGTCTGGCTCATGTGCAGGGGCTGAACTGGGGTTTCCTGGGCTCTCCCAGCATTGATTTGGGCCCCAAATCCCCACGCTGGGCTCCCTCCTCCCTCTGGCCATCCCTTTGCTGGCCAAGGGGCAGGGATGCTCGGTGACCACCCGGCCCCTTGCTTGTCCACATCTCACCATGGGCTGGGTTGCTTGAGGACCCCGTTCCACCACCACAGAGCAGCACAGGCGGCTGCCCAGCACCAGTGGGATGCTGCTGGTGGCGTGGCCCTCATGAGTTCCAACAAGCCTTTGCCAGCACCCACCGTGGCAACGCCACCGGTAGCATCCTCTGCCTTAGGGGGTGTTTGTCTCAGTGTGACCGTGGTGGGAGGGTGATGCCACGGACCCGTTGGCATCCCTTTGTCCTGAGGCCTCTCCCTAAGCCGTGGTGCTGCGGTGCCGGCTGAGCTCCTGGTGTGGGACCATGGCGGTGCAGCCCCATTCCCGCTCCATAGGGGCAGTTTGGGTGTGGGGAGGCGTTGACATCAGTTGATGCCCCTCATTCCCAGCTCTCATCCTCAAAGAGGATGCAGGCCACGGTGACGACGGCCTCGAGCTGCCGACAGACCCCAACGCAACCGCTGCGGGTACGGACGAGCTGACGACGTGGCCAACAGCCTCCCCAACCCCTCCTTGGAGCAGGGACCCCATCACCACCTCCGTGCAGCCACAGAGAGATGCTGCAGGCAACAAAACACGTGAGGAAGGCAAAGATGCAGCTTGGGAATGTCCTGCATCCCCCACAGAGACCTCTTGCCGCATCCCTTTGGGTATCTGCGAGCAGCCGGGCAGCATCCCTTATCTCTTCCCTTAGGAAGCGCATCAGCTCTTCCCATCAAGTACTGGTCCCCGGCCATCTTCGTGGGGGTTGCTCTGCTCGTGCTCTTCCTCACCTACCGCTGGACCAAGGGGGAAGGTGAGGGCCCCCCTTTTGCTCCGCATCGCGTTGGGGCGGCAGGAAGAGGTAACAGCCACCTCCCAACCCACATCCTCAGAGCAGCGAGAGCCGCCTGCTCTGCTGCAGCTGGGTGAGCTCTGGGTGCGCGCTGGAGCAAGGGGGGCACGGAGCAAGAAACCCCGGGGGCCGCGGTGGGGCTGCCCCCTCGCTCGGTTTGCCTTGGAACGCCCAGGTTTGAACCCGGAACTCCCCTTCCTGCCCCGTGGTGGCCGCTATGGGGCCAGCTCAGCCCTTTGCTATAGCACAAAGAGAAGGTTTTCCTCCTCCTGCAAACCCCAAAGCTCGCAGCGCAGGAGGGGCTTGCAAAGCCCTTGTAAAGCCGTTGTAAAACCCTTGTAAAGCCCTTGTAAACCCCTTGCAAAGCCCTTGTAAAGCCGTTGTAAAACCCTTGTAAAGCCCTTGCAAACCCCTTGCAAAGCCCTTGTAAACCCCTTGTAAAGCCCTTGTAAAGCCGTTGTAAACCCCTTGTAAAGCCGTTGTAAAGCTGTTGTAAACCCCTTGTAAAGCCCTTGTAAACCCCTTCTAAGGCCCTTGCAAAGCCGTTGTAAACCCCTTGTAAAGTCCTTGTAAAGCCGTTGTAACCCCCTTGTAAACCCCTTGCAAAACCCTTGCAAAACCCTTTTAAAGCCCTTGTGAACCCCTTGTAAAGGCCTTGCAAACCCCTTGTAAAGCCCTTGCAAAGCCCTTGTAAAGCCCTTGTGAAGCCCTTGCAAACCCCTTGTAAAGGCCTTGCAAACCCCTTGTAAACCCCTTGCAAACCCCTTGTAAAGCCCTTGCAAAGCCCTTGTAAACCCCTTGCAAACCCCTTGCAACCCCCTTGCAAAGCCCTTGTAAAGCCCTTGTAAAGCCCTTGTAACCCCTTTGTAAACCCCTTGTAACCCCCTTGTAAACCCCTTGTAAACCCCTTGTAACCCCCTTGCAAAACCCTTGTAAAGCCCTTGTAAAGCCCTTGTAAACCCCTTGTAAAACCCTTGCAAACCCCTTGCAAAACCCTTGTAAAGCCCGTGTAAAGCCCTTGCAAACCCCTTGCAAAACCCTTGTAAAGCCCTTGTAAACCCCTTGCAAAGCCCTTGTAAAGCCCTTGTAAAGCCCTTGTAAACCCCTTGCAAAGCCCTTGTAAAGCCCTTGTACAGCCCTTGCAAAGCCCTTGCAAAGCCCTTGTAAAGCCCTTGTAAAGCCCTTGCAAAGCCCTTGTAAAGCCCTTGTAAAGCCCGTGTAAACCCCTTGCAAAGCCCTTGTAAAGCCCTTGTAAAGCCCTTGTAAACCCCTTGCAAAGCACTTGTAACCCCTACATCTGCCCCGGCCGCAGGGACGAGGGACCGAGCCGCCTCCACCAACGACTCCTCAGGTGAGACGTGCTCACCCTGAGCCTTAGACCCTCCTTGACGTGGGCTCGGCGCCGTGAGCCCCATCCCAGCTCCTTGCCTTGCAGATCTGGGAGCCCTGGATGCCACCAAACCCGCTGCTGCCCAGGTGAGCCGGGAGCCCGGCAAGCCCCAGCCTGGGCCTCGGTTTCCCCACCCGGCACAAAGGAGGAGCACCCAGCACCCAGGGATGAGGATGCTCAGCGCAGCTCCTCAAGCAGCGCCTCTTGCAGGACGAGAGGAAAGAGCCAGAGAGACCCCGAGCCCTGGAGCGCACTGAAACCGCCTTCAGCGAGCAGGACCCCCAGGTGCTGCACCCCA